CTGGGCGACCCCTAACACATTCGCTAGATTCTATAGCCTTCGTGTGGAGCCGGTATCCTCCTGTGTTCTCACCTCAAACGGGTAGAAGCACTGAGAGGCCCCGGCTTCGGGTCGGCTTGCAAAAACCACTCCAGAGATTCCATATAGTAGACCCTGTTGAGTTCCTCCCTCCCCTCGGCAGCCAGATGTGGCGGAGTGTCCGGCCTTCACTCGTTGAATCCTCGAGAACCGGTAGAAGGCTGGGTTCCATATGTAAGACCTAAGTGGATCCCATATGTGTAAAGTCCACGGTATAGCCTTGAGCCCATATTTCCCCCCCAGCAGACTTCTGCCATTCCAAGAGGGTTACAATCACCTCCATTCTTCCATATGCACCTGAGGAATGTCCATATGTGTATTACTTCCGAAACCTCCTTCGGGAAGGTTGGAGCTTCCGTCACGTCCCTGTTCCAAGTAGAAAGGGTACATTTTTCCAGTGTTACCAGTCTTACTCATTGGGTAGTGCCATAGCAGCAGTAGCTGGTCCTCTTGTGCAAGCCCTGGCCTACGACCAAAAAGTAGGGGCGCACGTGGCTTCCACAGGACACTGGAAGGGGCAGTAGCTGTGGCCTTTTGGTAGGATCCCAATTTCGTCGGTCATTTGGCTGCTCGGCTCCTCAGCGAAAACCTGAATATGAGTGACTGACTGAAAGGGAACGTCTCGGTTACGTATGGTAACCCTCGTTCCCTGAAGGAGGGAACGGAGACGTCAAGTCCCGTCACCACAGCTCCTGTACCACCGCTGAGCGGCCGGGTCACCGGCTCGGCTCCTCAGCGAAAACCTGAATATGCGCTGCATCTGCTGCCTACTTATACTCACACTGTGATCAGCAGCAGCTGGATGCAATAATCACATGCCAATGTGCATTGGCTCGTTTAGTTTACACTCGAAGTGGATTGGTCTCTCTAAGTGAGATCCCAATTTCGTCGGTCATCCGACGTGACGTCTCCGTTCCCTCCTTCAGGAAACGTACGTACATACGTAACCGAGACGTTCAATTTATTTATTTTTATTTGAAGTTTTTGTTTTATGAAATTTAAAAACAACACATATAACTTAACATTTATTTATTTCATTATATATAACTATTAAAAACATTTTAATTGATTTTGATATTTTTAACTAAACATATATAACTTTAGTTAGTTAGTCAGTTAGTTAGTGTACCACATGAGGGCCCCAACTGTAGCAGGTATGCATGTAATATAAAAACAAAAACACTTATTTTTGACATTTTCGGAACGTCTATGCTGTTGGTTTCAAAAGAATTCCTTCATAATTAGTCTTCAAGCAAGACCCCCTTCTTATACGCTGTCGTGCTGGAGGGCGGCCTTGGTTGAAGCCATCAAAGAGAGACTAAAACAATAGTAAATGCTGCATTAATGAGGTTACATCACCCTCAATATCTTCCAGGTTCCATCTTGACTTCTGCTGCCTAGATACTTTTGAACCTCTCTGGAGATCCGGAGGCCCTGAGAGGAAGCGCGAGAGACACTGAGAGGATATTTTTAAACAATTCTCCTATTTGTTGAATTACATATTCTCTTTTTACCGGGATTATGAAAGTGGAGCAGAGGTCCGCTGGGAAAAGCCTTGGGGGGAAACCTGTGTATACACTTCCTTTCTCCAAAAACCTCTTGAATAAACCCACTCGGGTGATCGTTTACAAGGAAATTAAAAGTTAAGGAGGCAGACGTACTGTAGGCCGAGACGTTCGGGGATCTGGATGGAGATCAATATTGGCGTTTTGGCAGTGGTATATCCGCTCCCCTGTGACACCCCAGAAATCAAGCAATCCACAATCGGTGATTCACAAAAGACAGCTGGCGGCGTGCTAAATTCTCGCGTGCTTAAGATACTTATTAAGGAGGAACTGTGCTGGGAGTTGAATATTAAAATAGCTTTGCTCATCACATTTACACACAGCACCCCAATGAATTGAGTTAAGGGGGTGAGTCTCGGTTTTATGACTTTTATTTGTATTTATGCTGCGTAGAGAGGGAAAACAAGAACGTGGAGGGTTTTAGAAGAACTTGTGTTGTTCATCTGTTTTGTTTGAGTACGTTTATGCCGTCTTTGTTTGGTTCTGTTGATACTTGTTTGTTGAAATTTTTTTGGAGTACATAATACTGAATAAAACAAGAATACTTTGTCATTTGCTAAATTAAATTGTATTGTAATTAGGGTTGGGTATCGTTTGAATTTTATCGATTCCGGTTCCGATTCTGCTTATCGATTCCTAATTCCGATTTCAATAAGATAAAAAAAATCCATTAAACAAATTTTAAGTAAAATATTTAGATGTAAACATATTTATTCTATTTTATGTCTATGGTTTTATCAAAAAAATACCACAGAAAAAAAACAACTAGACTAATATCAATTTCAAACATTAAATTGTTAAAGACAAGTTAACAAATTAATTTAAAAAAAGTAATCTGATTTTTAATCCTCTATAACATTTAATTGTTTATTAAGCACTTGAGACGTGGCAGGAACACAGATCTACCAGCCTACTATAGAATCTGAAAGTAGCTTTGTTACAAACTGAGTAGTGTCATTACCAAATTAGTCAGTATTAAAAAACAATCCATTTCTTTTTATATTATAAATTCATACTTAACTGACCGTGAGCTTAACTGACTGCAAACTTCTTGTGTTAGCAAATGCAAGACAAAATTTTATTCCAAAAAGTTACACTACACATCATTACCGCCTCATGCAATATTAAAGCCCACAACTGTTGCTGCAATAATCTACTGGAAGTTTGATCATAGTGAATGATCAAAACTTTTTTCCAGGACTTGTGATAAAAGTTTTAACATATTTGAAAACTAGTTTCTGTGTTGCATGGTAATCTAGCTGTCTGATAAACTTGGCATTGTGTATTACGAATACAGTTGGCTCTTTGATGAACTGCTTTGTTCCTCTTTTTGTGAGTGTCTGCCAAATGCGTAAATGTTAACGTAGTTTGAAGAAGTTGAATTTTTCAAGGTTTCATTAAAAGTTCTTCTCTTCTCCAGGCTTCCGGCAGGTAAAGGTGAGATGTCCCGTCAATCACCTCCAATGCCTCGGTACCCACAGGTGTGTTCATTTCAGTACACTCTGCAATGGAGTACGAGACTGTGAGGATGGATATGACGAGGGTGTGCACTGCCGCGGTGAGTTCACAATGGTTTTATATACTGTATACACTATTGTTAAAAGTTCATTCTGCTAGGATGCAGTAAATTGCTCAGAAGTGACAGTAAATACATTTATTACAGTTACTTTTATTTCTATTTCCAATAAATGGTGTTCTTTTGAACTTTCTATACATAACAAAATCCTAAAAAATAAAATGCATCACGGTTTCAACAAAATTATTAAGCAGCACTACTGTTTTTAACATTGATAATAACAAGATATGTTTGTTGAGCAGCAAATCAGCATATTAGAATAATTTCTAAAGGATCATGTGACACTGAAGACTGGAGTAATGGGCTGAAAATTCAGGTTGCATCATAGAAATGTATTATATTTTAAAATATGTAAAAAGAGAAAAAAGTGTCGGTGCCGAATCCTGGCTCGTGGACTTTTCCCGATCCCGCCCCCTATCTCTCTCCTACTTCGCTTCCTGTCATTACACTGTCCTATCTAGTAAAGGCAAAAAAATAGTTATTTTAATAACAATATTACTGCTTTTACTATATCAAATAAATGTAGCTTTGGTGCGCATAAGAGACTTCTTTCAAAAATAAAAAAAGTCAAGTTTGCAGCTTGGTTTCTTTTTCTTTTCAGAGTGCAGTGAACTCTTTTTATCTTAAAAGATAAAAAGATTATCCCTTTAATTGTTCATGTGATGAATCTATTTATTTAGAAAATTATGAAACTAGCTAAAGACATGACTTGAATAGTCTCGAATTCAGCTGAAAACATCATAGTGGTCCATCGACATCTGTAGCTGCAGGTCAAGACTTTAACCTTTAAAGTGCAATTTCCATCTTTATGCCAAAAAGTGCCCATTATTTCCTCATTTTAAGAGTGTTTGACAGAATTAAACCCACAACAAATCTGCAGTCGTTTGAAGTCAGTTCCATGCAAGATAAGCACAGTCGGCTTAATGTAATAATGGGTTTCTGCTAAAAGGCAATTACTGTTTCTCCACATGATGAAGTGAGGATTGCATTTTGTGACATTGTGGTGACGGACAACAAGAAAAGAGGTTTATATGGAAACCACAGCCTAGTTTACGTCTAAAACGCTGATGTATTGCAGCCGAGCATGTTTAACTGTTGAGACGCATGAGTTACATCGTTCATGTCTAGAGAATGTGTGTATTTAGTTATGGCCATAATAAATGAACATATGGAGGTATTCATCATCCTCACCTTGAGTTGAACCACTCGTAAAGTGTTCGCACACATATGCCAGGCTTTTTAAAGCAAACGAAGACCTCGCTCGGAGGGGAAACTTGCACATTTACATTTTATGTTCCATTTCAATCTTAGTCTTGGTTCGGTTTCAAAGTAAATAAAATTGTGCCTCTTGAAGACGGAGGTATGGAAGTACATGTTCCTTTGAGGAGAAAACTCGGGCCGCTTTGTTCCACCGCAGACCGGTTTCGGATTGCTCTCTGCACACCTGTCATAACTGAGCATTCATCATTTACATTATCAGTCCGCAGAGCAGATATCAACTCTCACTCCTGGCGGTATATGAATCTGGGACAGATAGAGAGAAGAAGTGAGAGAGAAACATCTGTATGAGAATGGTCGTATGAGCCAGACTCGTGTTTTTTTTATTTTTTTATTTTGGTCAGAAAAGTTAAGACAAACTAGCCTTGTGGGTTAAAGATAGCGTGACACTAGCATTGACCTTAATAAATGTCTGTAGTCTTATTGTGCACAATATTGCAGTGCGTGATTTTAACTTGTTCCTCTGTTTTAAGGTTACTGTGAGGCAAAAGTACATTTTGAAGCATATAAAAACAGAAATGTGAAGCTTATAATTTTATAAAAACTTATGTTCATTTTTTGTTGAAGTTTGTGTATTTTTTGGAGCTGTTAAGCTGTTCAAATGTCATTTTTACAGTTGTTTTAGGGCTTATGGCATTGCTATAGCGATAAAGTTATAAAATTGGATGTAATAAGCATTTTTTTCCACACTAAAATCATGTTAACACTCATTGTTTACGTTTTGTCCCTATACTATTGAAACAGTGAGTGTTCAAGAGTGGCCCCATTCTCTTCCATTGTAATTACAATTTACATTAATTTTTCTGTTAAAATATTTGTATTATTTGAGCTGTTAAGCTATTTAAAATGTCATTTTTAAAGTAAAGTCATTTTTAGTAACTTTTTTCAACAACAATTATAAAATTGTGTGTAACTTTAAACAGAAAGCAATTTTCACACTAAAGTCATGTTAACACTCATATTGTTACTCATATTGTGGCAATACTGTTGAAACAATGAGTATTTAAATGTTCACAGATTCACTTCCATTGTAAATGCCATTGTAGGTGGTTGCTAGGGAATTGCTATGTGGTTGCTAGGGTGTTCTGGGTGGTTGCTAGGTTCCCTTACAAAAATTAACCATGGTTTTATTACAAATAAAACCAAAGAAAAAAAAAACATGGTAACCACAAATTAACCATGGGTTTGCTACACTAACCATAGTTTAACCGTGGTATTTGTAGTAAAATTGTGGTACACTTTTACTACACTTGTACTATAATATAACCATGATTCATTTTCGTAAGGGTTGTTCCAGGTGGTTGCTAACTGTCTTAAGTCATAAGAGCCCACCCTACTGTGTCTAGTGACACTTTTACTCCAATAAAGTGCTAGTAACTGATTGCATACGGGGGCAAGGAGGCGGGATTATGTTTAATCAACAGATTGGCTTTTTAGAACAACGAAAACAACAACAGTTTGGATATTGTAGCCATAGATATGTATAGATGCCCTGTTCGACCGCTCCAGATACGTTGGCCCGTCCGCCATTTTGGAACGGTCAACTTGACGTCATTCACCATAATAATCAATGAATATTCAAAGATATACATGCGTTTAATTTGCTCTTGTAGATGCACAGACAACTTGCGCTCAAGGTTCGCAGACTGTTCCAAAAATGGCGGACGACTTATGAATCGTGGCCCATAGAAACAGTCGCTAATGAGTCATCTACGTATATATATATATATACACAGTATCTCACAGAAGTGAGTACACCCCTCACATTTTTGTAAATATTTTATTATATCTTTTCATGTGACAACACTGAAGAAATGACACTTTGCTACAATGTAAAGTAGTGAGTGTACAGCTTGTATAACAGTGTACATTTGCTGTCCCCTCAAAATAACTCAACACACAGCCATTAAAGGGATAGTTCATCCAAAAATGAAAATGTTATGTTTATCTGCTTATCCACAGGGCATCCAAGATGTAGGTGTATATATATATATATATATATATATGATTGTAGCTAGCTAGTATGCTAACATCTGGAGTAGTAGTTCTTAACTGTACAAAAAAACAAAACAAAAGCAAATGTGCAAATTCCATTAGCTTAACGCTATGCAACGACAGTAAAATAGTAAGTCCAAAGTCTAATAGAAAACCAAACATACACAAACATAAACATACACAAACAAAAGAGAAATGCTTTATTTGACACTTTAGCTTTGGTAATGTAGCATGAAACAGTATGTCACATCTAACATTCTGAGGAGAAAACTCTACTAGTATCACTTTATTTGCGATAGTCTTTAATGAAGATCCAAGTGAAAATTGACAGCTATAACATTTTCACTTAGAAATATCACGTTACAGACGGTTTAATGAATTGTGAATGTCGTTTCATGTTGTATTTTACTGTGTTCAGCCCAATTGAAATGTGGGTCGCTACGTTGATAAACCTGAGTAAACAGTCTTGTAGGTATTTGACATCGACTTAAGCGCCTAACTAACCTTGACGAAGTGTTTTTAGATTCTCTTTTATTTTGTTCTGACGGGGGGAAAAAAACTAAAAACTAGTGAGCTGCATTGGGACCACTGCCTTTGGATCACTGTGTGTTATTTTGAAACTCTTTCTTGGCTATTTTTCTTGGTTGTGTGGGGATTTGTTTTGTCATTGAGGAATGGAGCTTGCCTTCAGGTGACCACGGCTATTCTCTAGAGACTAAAGAATAGAGAATAAAGAGATTTCGGCTGTGTGTGTGAATGTGTGTTTCAGTACGGTCGCTTATCTTCACGTTTCCCCACTGTTTTGGTCCTTCTCACACAGATTGTATTTAGATCATTGGGGCCTGATAAGGACTTTATATCTTTTTTTATTATTATTCAGACGGTGTCTGCCGGTGTCAGACTGACTGACTGTAGATGTGTGAAATGAATAACTTAACAAAGACGGCATAGAGCGGTGCAGAAGATAACAAAATTGAGACAAAGAGAGTCACACATTTAATTAACTTCCCTGAAAATACACACAGGAAAGAACATGATGCCGTGCACATTTCACGGCGAAGATTTTCTTGATCTGTCACATTTATTCTCGTTTGTCTCACATCAGAAGAGCGTACAGTTTTGTGTACAAAATCACAATGCCTCACACGCTAGTACTCCACTACAATTAAAAAAAGACTAATCATAGATAGCTAAGCATTGACATTCCCATTCAGTATGTGTTCAGAAACATAGCATGTTATCATAACAACCTGTTATAGCTAATAATTTTTTTTTAACAAGTTAGTGTTATGCTAGATTAGTAGGCTTACCCATAGGAAAAATGTATTGCTCAGTGGTTGCTTTTCCTAAGCTCAGGAGACTTGGATGAGATTCTCATATATCTCTCATTTTAGTATCAACAGCATTTCAGATGTTTCTTCTAAAATTCCTTAGGAGAACTGGAAGTAGACACAAATGAGACATGAGAAATATTTGAGAAAAAAAGAGTCAAACATAGAATATCTCTTAATTGTATTGCTGCAATCTCTATCAAGACTCCATTATAGGAATATTTGATTGCTCAGTGAAGAAAAAGACTAATCACATCCTGAAGAAAGCTAACTGTTAGCATTTCCATTCAGTACCTGTTCAAAACATAGCTTGTTATCATATCTGGTTCTACATTTTTTTAACCCAGTTAGCGCTAGCTAGTAGGCTAAGCTATTAGC